GGTGTCATCAATCAGTCAACGGTTTCAAGATGCGTGAATCGCTCCAAAAATTCATAAATATACCGGATTTTTTTATTTTTTAATGTACAGTTGTGGATTTTCTCAAAACGGAAGGTTTTTTTTATCTTTTCATGACATTTTTTCGGGCAGCAGTGGGTTTTCATAGAAAAAACGCGATTTGTTAAATTGTGAACTATGTGACGTCTGCTGTCAGAGCCGAGTTATTTGGACATTGAAGTATGAAGCCATACGAACGTACGAATTGACAGATCTCCAACCAATAGAAACACTTTTGTACCATCCTATAAACGGATGCATGGGACACAGGCTTTAATGTTTTTTATGTATACAAAAATGGACAGTTAAATGGTAAGTGCATCTTTTTTTTAAATAAAATTGCAAACGCAAAAAAATTAGTTGTTGCCAAAACTCAGCAGGAAGCACAGACTTTCCACTTTAATGCCATCGGTGAGCAGATCTGCATTTTTTGCGTACCTGATAGTATATTGTCTGTTCGTCTTCCTTTGAAGAACAAAAAATATTCGACAATGTCCGTATACGAAAAATCACACGCACTAAACCATACACCCTGTACTAGCATGCAGAGAAACACTGAAAACTAACCAGAAAGCATGAGTAGAAAAGCTTGAGACGCTTCACACTCCGATAATTCCACAATAATGGTTAATGGTGATGGAAGTAACGTGAAGAATGGGCAACTTTTCGGATGTGCATTTTGCATGAAGCGCATTTGGAGTTGAGTAGCTTTGGATGAACTTCAAGTTTGAATGTCTCGCGCTCTTTAATACAAAACGCCAAATTTTACACATTTAAGCTCTAAATTTCAGCTTTATGTAATAAGGAGTTGCAATTAAGGTATTATGTATTTAGTGATTGCTCGACTGATCAAACTGAATAAGCCAATTAAAGTGAAACTTGACTTGCCGCAACTGTATTCGTGATGCGCCTATTCATTGGTTCACTATGTGTTTGTGGTATTAAGCAAAAATATCTCCTCCCATACATCATTTTATGGCTTTAGCAATTTTTTGATGCAAATACTCATTTCGATTATAATCTCTCGAATAGGTTTGCGCATTGAATGGCCTCAGAGCGACCTTGCCAAACTGTTCAACTTCTGAACTTTCTATGTTTTGGTAGCAACCCCGACAAATTTCAGCTCACATTCTAACCTGAAATCTGCACATGGATTGGATTAATGTGTAAACTAAAATCGGTGTGGAAGATTCATAAACCGTTTAAAAAATTCAGTGAAAAACATGGTAGAGGAAGAAAACTTTCCCAGAGGGGGGAAACTAGCCGCTAAAAGACCGCCGCCAGAGAATGCCAACGTAAGCTTCACCTCATTTTCATTAGTCCCAATGTAATTAATCCATGAATGGTTCTAGTTGTTCAGTCTTGGAAATTCCTCCAAGCCCAAAAAGTCCAAGACATCCAAGAAGAAACCGACGCCTTCGGATGATGTTTTTGAAGCAGCCCTGCATGTCAGAGGCTCTTTAACATATAATGTAAGTATTGATCTTTCTTCGATCAACCCGAAAGACTAACTGGTGAGGTTGTTGGGCACGAATTTCTAGAAAAGACCGCAAAAGCCCAATCTGTGATAACCTAAGCCCATTTTTCAGCAAATTCAAACAGGAATGGTTATACTAGGATGCATCAGAAACATTTATAATTTCGCTTTGGAGGTTGAATTGCCAGGATTGTGTTTCGCTACAGTGCCCATTACAGAGATCTCAGACCCATTTACCAAACATCTCAATCAGCAGCTGGAAAACAATGATCCAAATGTAAGTTTTTCTCTAACGATGCCAGTTGTCTGCTACATATTCGTTGATTCATCATTTTAGCCTGTCGATCCCAGCGAGTTGTTCTCTGTGGGCGATTTCTTGCCCATTAAGATAATGGCTGTGGAAACCCGCGATAGCGGAACTCATGTGGAAGCCAGCATCAATCCCAGAGAAATTTACGCGGATCAAAATCACAGCTCGTTCGCGAAGGGCATGCTGGTTTGGGCTTGTGTCCAGTCGCAGTCAGATCATGGTTATGAAATGACTCTCGGCGTTAAGCACTGCAGGGCTTTTGTGCCGTTTAAAAACATCGACGACGAGCCCAATTACGGTAAGTCATTGATTTAGTTCACTAAGCCGAGAATTTATTGGATTGTTTTTCAGAAATCGGAAAACCTTTGTGGTGTGTAACTCACAAAGTGGACTCGACAGCGACCGCTTCCATTTTAAGACTTAGTGCCAAATTGGAACATGTTAGCGCTCTAACAGGAGATATCCAAAATTTGGACAGTGCGCTACCAGGAACCAAAGTGAATTTCGTAGTAGAAAAGGTAAATAATGGCTTTCATACGCGAATTAAGTCTTGGTGGTAACTAATGATACTGTAGATTTTGGCGCAAGGGCTTCAAGGCAAGTTTGGTGATCACTTCATTGGATACATAAACGAAAATCACTTGACCACTCCTTTGAAAAGGCCGACTGATTACAAGGAAGCGAAAGTGCTTTCTGCTTACATCTTGTTTGTGGAGCCAACCACAAAAATCACACATCTATCGCTGCGGGTTCCGGAAAGGGCAGAAAAACCCACTTTAAAAATTGGAGATATTGTAACAGCGCAGGTAATCAATATCTCGTCTATTTAAAATGAGTAATGTAACAACTAAAGTTGTGTTTGGCAGGTTATCGGCAAAAGTGCCAATGGCTTCATATTCATGTTGCCCCAGAATTTGAAAGGCTTTGCCACCCATAAACGGCTGCTGAATAGTATCGTCAACAATCATTCAGCCGACATCAGTGACAAGATAAATGCCAAGTTTTCCCCGGGTAGTAAACACAAATGCAGAATTTTGGATTTCAACTATCTCTCGCAAATGTTCATTTGCACCCCAGAATCAGCGGTGTTAAAAGAGAGCACTTTTACCCCGTCCAACCTAAAACCAGGACAGGTAGTGCAGGTGAAAATAGCCAGTATTAAGGAAGAAGGCCTCGTGGTCACTACTGGACACGTTAGAGGATTCGTCCCGAACTTGCACATCAGTAATAGTGAATTTACGAGGAACGTGAAGAGTAAATTTAAGGAGAAGCAGACAGTTAATGCAAGAGTGCTGAGTGTTGAAGATGGCAAGGTGTTATTTACCATCAAACCAATGCTCGTTCAAAATGATGAATGTTTGGCCCAAGAAAAGGACGCAGAAGTTGGAAAACAATTTATGGGGGTTGTGTCTAAAATTTCAGAGGCCGGAGTTTTGATTGTGTTCTATGCCAACATCAAGGGCTGGATGGGTAAACCTGGCATGGGACGGTCGGCTGCCGATCCCTCAAAGTACTTTTTCTTGGGGCAAGTGGTAAGTTAAACAAAATAAAACAGTGGTCAGAGAGTGTTGAAAATGCTGCATTTTAGGTGAACGTTTACATTGGGAAAAAAGTCGGAGACTGCATATTTCTTTGTTTATTCCCCCCTAAAGATAAAGAAAAAGAAAAACCTTTCATTCCAAGCTTTGGTGGGAGATACTCAGGAATAGTCAAAGTAGTTAAGGACGATGGACTCGACATACAATTGAACAACACTACCAAAAGGGGGTTTATTCCTAACGCCCATCTGAGCGAGAATTTAAGCCTTTGCCAGGCAATCAAAAGTAAGGTTTCAATTTACAGTTGAACATTCCTCTTTCAATCATCCTCTTTTAGACACTTTTAGTGTTGGTGACCAAGTTAGCGACGTGATGTATATTGGTGGCACCAAACCTCAGCTATTTTCAAGGCGAGAAGCAAATGTTTCAAGAGGCAAAGAAGTACTCAAACTAGAAGCTTTGAAAGAAGGTCAACTGGTTCGATGCGCCTATCAAAGCACGGCAAGCAAGGGACTGTTTGTACAGCTTATGGTCCAAGGGATCTCAAAGCCTGTTTTAATCAGAAAAGTGGTAAGTAACGAATATTAATAGAGAAAATCGCCCAATATTAATTAAATATTTGCTTGTAGAATATTGATGAGAACATACCTGAATTAGTTCCTCATCAACTGGTAATCGCTCAGGTACAGAAAGTGGATATGCAAAAGCAAAAAATCGACTTGTCCATCAAGCTGAAAGACGTCTACAAGAATAATGTTGAAGTGAGTATACCCAATGCTTAGAAAGTGGGCTGTTTTAACGAAAAACCTTTTCAAGGGTCCTTTGGATTTGTTTACGCAGTACTTGCAAGAAGAAGTGTTTTTACATAAGATGAGTTGCAAGCTAAAATGGGAGATTTGCAAGTACAATTTAGGACAGCAAGAGCAGTGTAAAGTGGAAAAAATCGCCCCTCAAGGAGGCTGCGTTGTGTCGCTATCAGATGGAAAAGTAAAAGGAGTTGTTGTTCCTTCGTTGTGTCCTAGTGAGTACAAATGTGCACCCTCCAATGTTTTCAAATTTTCAATAACATCTTTCTCGCAGAAGCCTTAAAAGAAGGCGATTCAGTCGTCGGGGTGATTATAGGGCACGACTACGAAAAACGCTTTCTTCACGTATGCATAAGACCTGATATTATCAGCAGAATAAGCGAAGTGCAAAATGGAAGCTTAAAAGCCCCGATATCATCGTGCTATGCAGAAAAGCTGCTGGTTAAAGACGAATGCATCGTATCCATTCTGAGGCATCCCAACGGTAACAAGCAGTTGGTGTATTTGCCAGTCAAGCTCCACGAAAACGATTTTGTCGGTTGCATGTCTTATTACAAGGCCAAAAAGTTCAAAATCTGCGTTTGTGGGTGCGTATTTTCAAGAAATTTTACAAAGAACCGGTTCTAAATGTAGATTTTCAGGAAACTGAAGAAGTTCCTAATCGGGATCAGCACGAAATTGTTTATTACTCTAGACAGAACCACCAACAAAAGGAAATCAAATGGCAAGCTCGAGAAACTTGAGGAAACTGAGCCAGAGGAAATGCTAGTTGAAAGTGAAGGTGGCGAGATGGAAGACCAATTAGACGAGGTAGAATGTGAGAATATGGAAGTGGAAGTTGAGTCGAGCGATGAGGCAACTGATGAGGCCTTGGATGATGAGGAAAAAATTGAACCCGAACCCGTAATTTTACCAGGAGTGTCTTCGTTTTTCACCATTGGAAAAACGAAGGCTCCTGTTGAGGAATCCTCCGATGACGAAGACGAGGTATATAAGTTGATAAATTTGTTTGATATTGTTTATAGAAGATGTTTATGATTTTTAGGGGCCAACTGAAAGGAAGAAAATGAAACTCTCGCCTGCCGAAAGAGCCGACTTATTAAGAACGGAAGAGGAACGAATTGCAAAAATTGAAAAAGAACTAGCCGACACAAGTAAAGCTCCAGAAAGTGCCGAGCAGTTCGATAGGCTGCTGTTATCCAAACCAGATTCCGCAGAGCTTTGGGCCAAGTATATAGCATTCCATATTGCGGTTAGTATCGTCTCAAGAAAAAAAAGTTTGGGGCTGTATTCTTTTATTTCAGGCGACAGAAATTGACAAAGCTAGATCAGTGGCAAAGAGAGCTTTGGCCACAATCAACATGACTAAAACCGAAGAAAAGTTCAAGATTTGGATCGTTTTTCTGAAATTAGAAAACATGTTCGGTACAGAAGAGACGTTTGAAAAAGCGCTCGAAGATGCGCTTAAGTTCAACGACTCGCTGCAAGTCTACTTGAAGGTGATTGAGATGTTTGCGGAAAATGGGAAATTCACCGAAATGGAAGGAAAAATAAGTAAAGTGCGAGCAAAGTACAAGCAGGAACCGACCATGTGGCTGGAATTGGGCAGGATCTATTATCAAATCGGGCAATTCAAAGAGGGCAGAAACTGCAAGGACAGAGCACTGAAATCCATAACGGATAAAAAATCCCGTAAGTGTTGAAGCAAAAATTAGACAGGGAACGTTGAAAATTTGTATTTCCAGAAATGACTATTATTATCCGATTCGCAATTATGGAGTTTAAATATGGGGAATCGGATCAGGGCTGCGCCATCTTCGAAACCATCCTGTTGACGAGTCCCAGAAAAATCAACATCTGGATGACTTACGTGGATCAACTAGTGAAAAAGGGAGATACTGAACAGGCTCGTTTGGTTCTAGAGCGGGCGATGAGCCAGAAGTTGCCACCCAAAAGCATAAAATCCTTGCAGGGAGTATTCAGGAAATTTGGCTGGGACACCAATAAACACTAATAATTGTATAAACCGAGCATTAGGGTGATTCATTTTTCCTCAGTACAATTTTCCGATTTTTGCCAGCCCACTTTGGAGACTTTTTTCGACAAATTGAATGAATCGTGTTAGCGCTCCAAATTTAAAAACCTAATTTTGCTTTCAACGTGAGTAATTTATTGAATACAATATACAAAAATTACTGCAGATCACGTTTGGTCGCAATGTTATTATTTTTTAATGCTTCACGTACATTGACCCGTTTTATATTCGTTTCAAGTCAAAGAACGATATAGATTCTTGCGCCTACGCGTTTATTCAATCTGGAATGAAACATGATCATTTCATTTTCCTGAAGATAGATTTATAATAAATATTTCAGATGTTTTATAATAATTCTTAAATATATATGTAAACTAAATGGGAAGATATCTAAAACAAAGTGAACAATGTCCGAGTTAGAACCATTAAAAATCAAAACTATCGATTCTTCAACATGTTGCTCAGAGAAATCAGATTGATACGCAAGTCTTTCTGACGGCTCGGCTTGTCGATCTCTTCTTGAAACAGAAGTTCTAAGGTGGCAATGTCTGCCGGCCCTGATTGTTGGTTTAGCATACTACTGAACAGCATATTCCATAAATCCTGAACCAAATAACGCGGCAAATGAATAACCAAACTCCACACATCTCGGTTTTTCTTTAACTGGATATACTCTTGTAACAAAAGCACGTGCGCTGTTGCGGCCACACAAAACAGATCGGTGTGGTAGCTCCACGGCCGCCCATCACGCACCTAATAACGATTAGAATGATAACACGAAAATCTGATTGACAAACAATTTACTCACCTCACAACAAATAAAATCTTCAGTATTAATAGGGACAGTAAAAGCAGCTCCTTCTGGGAACAATGACATGTCTATACTGCAACCGAAATCAATTAGTCGTAAACCGAGATAATTGTCGCGCAAAGGAAAAACCAAGAAGTTGTCCGGCTTGATGTCGGCATGAATAATTTTCACTTCGTGCATCGCCTTGACTATTTGCAGCATCTGCAGGGTGAAGTACATGGCGATGGACTCCTTATGGACCTTAAAGGAGGTTTTCAATATATTGGCTGTGGCCAAAAGCGAACCGAGCGGCTCTAGCTGAGACACCAAAATCGAGGCCTGGTCACCTGAAGCAAAACCGCATGGTCACATCCAAATTCCAAGTAAATCCATACCAGATCGTGTACTTACTAAAATATCCTTTTGTAACGTCCATAAACCTATCTCGCAAATTATGATTTGCCAGCCTAGACTGCAATTCCTTACAAATGTAGTATTCCCATTTGTTGGGAGGTTTTTGATACTTTAAAGCTACAGTACACTTAGTACCGCAATTACAGGCTTTAAATACTGTTCCGAACTGGCCCTTGCCCAAGAGCTTCTCGATTATATATCTGTCGTTGCCTAAATAAAACTCATGAAAGAACTATTTACACAAAAACGAAATCAGGCTCACCTATATACATTGGCTGCTTCCGAACCGCCAATTTGGGATTGCCGTAAATTTGTTCCAAACAGTGACCGTGACCGCCTGGAAATGAGACTCGCTGCAACAAATGCGAGATTAAATTTGCGTTAAATGGATCTGCTGGAACATAGTCAAGGGGCTGAGGAGTCTTAGGCGAAAATGCCGTTGCCATTGGGGCAGATTGGATAGGCGAAGGAGCAGCTGGCAATTGTACTACAGGTAGCACGTCCTCCATTAGACCTACAAAGAGCGTAAACTAAACCCAAACTAAAAAAAACAACTCTTCCGCCGAGAAGTTACCACTTAGTAAGCTGCGACGCAGTTCTTCGTTGGCTTTCATGTTCTGCTCCCAATAGCTGTTGTGCTCTTCGGATATCGTGCCGATTTTGTTTTTATGATGGCTGTGAAGCGTCAACTTAGTTACCGTCCCGCTCGAGCCAGATGAACAGGACCTAGTCAAGTATATGATTCGTAAAGCATAATAATCGCATTTTCAACAGTTTTTATACGCACCTATAACTACTTCTCTCTTCAATAATGGTACTTAAACTCTTATCCTTAAAAAGATCTATTTTGGTGCTGGGCTGAGGGGTTTCCTTCGGCGCCAGTGTTTTAGTTTGGGGCGTACTGACCTATGGAGTTTAATCAAGCAATGAAGACAGCTCGCCAGCTCGCTCGTTCAGAGGGTCTGAACTCAATCTACATACCTGCATTACATTTAAATCAAAGCTAAACTGCTGAGGAGAGCAGTACGAGTCGTCTCCTAACGAGCACGAGCTACTGTCGGAAAATGGTACTGGCATGGGCTTCGCGTCATCAGCGGGCTGTGCTGCCATTGCTCCATCCATTCCACCACGGGAGCCCGTTTCCACTTCGTCTGCATTCAGTGTTCGAAACGCCGTTTTCATTGCGTTGCCTGCTGGATTATTTTCATTATATTTACTCGCTTAAGTCTCAAGCGATCTAATTGTACATTGTTGGGGAACCTTGGGAGGGTTAAAGGGTACATTTCCCCAAAGTTGGTGTTTCTGGGTACATGTGAAGTCGCCAGTACAAACTCGCAACTGTTATCACCTTCAAGGGCGCTCTGTGGTCGCAACTCAGCATTCAAGAGACCAACTGGCCACAGTGAATCTCTACTAAATGCTTAAATTCCATTTGAACAGTGAGCATACCTTGTGGGGGAACTGATTGCATGCTCTGATCGAAAATAGCAAAGCCTCTCGCTGGCTGCTCCGGCACGTTGATACTGAATGGCGACCGTTCTGGTTCCGGATCTTCAAGTATGTCGAACTTCAACGGAGCAAAAGCGCTGAAACAGCTAACGTTAAGCACTGCGTATATGCTGGCCGGATAAACCGTACTTTAGCCTATGTTCGTTGCTTTCGCCGAATACGTTTTGTAGGAAGTTTTGGTGATCTGCTGAGGATTTCCACGGGCTGTGACTTACTGTGGACATTGCTTCGACTCCACATGACTGGTTAGGACTGTTCCCTTCAAACCGCGTGAAGTTGGGAGTAGCATCCATTCGATTATTCTCCTAGAAGCCAGTGCGATTCGTTAACGAATGCGACTAACTAAAGCTCGCAAAATTCCACTTTACCTGATCAGCCTGGTTTTCTTGGGCCACCACAACACAGCCATCCTCATCATCATCCACCACAATGATAGGCTGCATTTCCTCACATCTCACCAAATTTTTCGTACTGTTCCCATTGCTTCTATACCTGGCGAATATTTCAACAATTAACTAGCGAGTTCATGCAGTGAATCAAACAGTGCGCACCTGATGGCCCTCAATTCTTCGATCGAGTACTCGATGTTTGGATCCGAGTAAACTAGATGCTTCGGATAGGCAACCAGCACATTAGGATTTGGGGGATCTGGAAAATTTTGCAGGGCCACGTTCCAATTCGAGTAGTCCTCCAAACAGACGGGCGGTAAATTGGCAGGCAAGTAACCCCCACTAGGCTCGCTTGTATCTTCGAGGACTGAAACACCAAACTGGGTTAAGAAACTGGTCCGGCTCAACAAGCTGCTGGCTTCCAATTGTCAAACGCCTCACTTGTAAATCCCGCAGCAATTGGCCGGTGTGTTCCCAAAACGCGCTTTTTATGGGGCACAGTCGTCCATGGTCCGGGCTTCAGAGTGTTCTCTTTCGGCCCTTCTTGCCTTTTGGCCACCGTTATAATGCTTGTGGGCGCAGCACCCCCTAAGCACAACATTCTACAGTAATTCTACTATTGAAAAATGCCAAATCTGCGACATTAAAAATTTCAAACAGGCAAAAGGATGCAATAGGAATGTAGTCATCACTTACTTCCAATTGCTCTGAGCAAGGAAGCGAATATACAGAGGTTTACGCGAGTTTTACTAATAAATCCGCAAAAGAGTTGATACTATCTGATGGAATAACAGTGGAGACTTTTACATTGATTTTGACAGATATTAAGAAGACTGGATGGCCAGGATGATAACTATTAGCAGAAAAAAAATGTCCAAAAATGATAAAAAGGCGCTAAATCGGCATGTTTTCAACCCCCCGATTGCACAAGGGTTTGTCCACCCAAATCGTCTTCAACTCACCCGTTGGAAAAGCACTAGCTTGATCTTCGTAGATATTCAAAGCAACATTTGGTCCATCTCTACGAGCGTCTGCCAAAGTACCGATACCATTTGCTGAACCTGAAGGTAGGCGGACATTGTTCACTCTTCCGCTTGAACATAAGTGAAGCGACGTTAAAGCCTGCCGTTTTTCTTGTAAACGGCCCTCGTTTGGCCCATACAGCATCTGCAGGGTCAGATAAAATCAGCGTGCTTCCAATAAAACCACTCAATTTGCACGTACATGTTCACCGGCTGAGGTTATTAGGTTTTTGTGGGCCAGCTCCAGCTCATCGTAGGGTTGAGCTAAGTTTCGCTTGCCTTCCTCGAAAATATTATTGGCTTTCTGGAAATCGCCGCCTGCTTCGTAGTAGTAGGCCCATGCCTTGTAGAACTCTGCACAGCCAGTACATAGGTTTTTCGATTTCATCATTAAGTAGAGTTCCTCTGGGCTAGGAAACATGTCATTCTGAAATAAAGGTTTCGCCAATTAAAAATATTCTTCCGGAGATCCCCAGTTTTAGTTGAGTTGAATTTGGAACTTTTGGTAAGCGTTCAGCTTCAGTTCAAGTTCAACCTCAGCCTCAGCTATAGTAAAACAGCTTGACTAAGCATCACGCAGAGGGGATTTTCAGGTAAACATTCGACTTACATATTTAACCCACAATTTGCAAAACCTCATATCATTAGTGTATCGAGGATCATCCTCAAACTTGCCCAAGCAATGTTCCAACAATGACACACAATTTCCTTCGTGTCCGCTTTTTGGAAAAGTCTGTTCAATCCACAAGATGTACTCGTAGTAGTTCTGCAGCGGATCATCGCCTTGATACTCTTTTATTAAGGTTTCGAAATGCCTGCAACGAATGAACCATGAATGGGGGCTCTATTGCCTCGTTTTGGATCCGCTTACTCCTTTTGTTGCTGCAACTGTTGCTGATACTCGGGGCTAGTTTGGGCATGCAGGGCCATTTCCAGTTGATGAACATTTCGCCCCCTTCGTAGGGGTTGAATATTCTCTTTGCTTAAATCAAAATCCATGTTGATTTTTATGACATTTATAAACCCATCCAACTGTCAACAGCACAATCCAAGCGGTTTCAGGCTACAGCCAATAACTGGAAAACAATGGGGAATAATCAGTCGTCCTTAGTTAATTTGAGTTCGTGTGAAGAACATGGCTTACTTTGGGGCAAGATCCATTGTATCCCGAGTGAATAAACAAGAAAAGTTTCAGTTAATTTACAGAAACAGTCAATGGATTGTCCGACTTTTTGGACTTTTGTAGTAGGGAGCACAGATCACAGAGGTTCTTTAATCTGTGGTAGGGACTTTTCGCTGTAGCTAAGGCCTGCTCACATGATCAGGGTGGCCAACGCGTATTACCGTCGAAGCCATTTGAAAATACCGTATTTGAAGCTCGATTACCGTAATGAGATTAGAGAGTTATTGGTAGGCCAATACGTTCATGCAGTATTATAGTTTGCGCTATTTTGACACAAACGCCTGCGCAAATCAGCCTAAAAAATAAGTACTGCTAAATTAAAGTACTGTTTTGTAGTATTTGTGCCCCGATACTGCACGTTTTATTTTCTATGTCAAACTGGCAATTGACATTTCTGACGTCCGCTTGCGGGTTATTTCATATAAACATAACCCAGTTTCACCCATTTCCGATTGACTACCTGTTTACATATGTAAACATTACGTTTAACTACGTATTAAGTCTTGTATTACTTATACAATTGGTTCAAAATGCCACATTTTGCAGTGTCCTTTAATGCTCAATGCGTGCTGAACGAGATACGGTTTCTTTTTTCCGATTTTAGCGAGACATTTAGAGATGATTTGAATGCTTTCTCTAGTGAACGTCGAAATGCTTGTGTTAAGGCTTTAAAACGGGCGCCTCTACGTGARATCTATATGAGAAATGATCGTATTTGCTTAGGACATTTTATAACACAGAACATACCCCCTAGGGGGGATATTTTGTGTTTTATAACTGGTAAGTATTTGTACAAAAAAGTGATTTTGGTAATGCTTTACGSTACGATCTGCYSWSACMMKMGMACAWGSCYKMTAAACCATAGAWMAAGRCGAGTATATAGTTATAAACTGCAGGGTACGCGCAGCCAAACATTGCATACTGGTCAGCCATGTTGCCGAACTGCCACCAAAGTCGAAAATTCCAATGAAAACAAAAAAGTAATTAATTCAAGGTTGAAAACTTAGCAGAATTACGTCCATACAGGTAATAGTAGACGAAACTGATAAGCTCATACATATGATTGTGCGCGTAATTTAGCCGGGA